GTGAGGTATTCATACCTGTGATGAGTGTCAGACATTCACACCTGTAATAGGGAACATAGCACGCATGCTTGTGATGAAGGTGGCAGGTATTCTCACTCATAGTGACAGTGTGCATCATTTACATGGTGAAGATTTACTGTCTTGTAGTAGGCATTGGGGTCCTTGCCTGTGGTGAGTCCTCTAGTATTCTTGCTTGTGAGTATACGTGTCCAGCAGTTACACCTGCAGGGAGGGTGTGTGTCAGTCACATCTGCAATAAGAGTGTCCTGGGTGACTCTTGTTTCTTGCTATCAACTATTTTACTTTTCATTGTATCAGTAGTGAGTATTCTTTGGTTTGACCAAAATGATTAAACTGACTGCTTTGGGTTTGCTCCAAAAAACTCGAAAGAGACCAGGCGGTGGTGGAGGGCTGGGCCGTGGTGGTGCACACCTTTAATTCCAGCCCTTGGGAGACAGGGGCAGGTGGATCTATATGATTTTGAGCCTGATTTACAAAGCGAGTTCCAGGACAGGCTCCAAAGGTATATAAGGAAACCCTATCTCAAAAAGACCTTTTAAAAAAAACCTCAAAAGAGCCACACTGCCACCTTTGTGCCTGTTTTAGTCAGGGGTCCTCTAGGACAGTGGTTCTCAACCCTTCCTAAATGCTATGACTCTCATGTTGTGGTGACCCCCAGCCATAAAATTATTTTTGTTGCTGTTCTTTGCTACTTTTATGAATTGTAATGCAAATATCTGACATGCACAGGTTGAAAACCACTGTGTGTGTGTGTGTGTGTGTGTGTGTGTGTGTGTGTGTGTGTGTGTCTCAGAAGTTAAGAATAAGCATTTTTTAAAAACTTTTGTTTTATTATTATTTATGTGCATTGATATTTGATCTGTATATGTGCCACATACATGCCTGGTACCTGCAAAGATCAGACTGGAGTTAAACAGACAGTTGTGAGCCACCAGTGTGGGTCCTCGGAACTGAACCCCAGGTCCTCTGGAAGAGCAGTCAGTGCTCTTAACCTCTGAACCATCTCTCCAGCCCCTTAAGTTAGCTTGAAAATAGCAACAACAGCCAAACTCAGCCACGATGTTGAAAACTAAGTAGCTTAGTTTTCTATCCTTGAGCCTGAATGTCTCAACATTTGGAATTGTCCCAGAACAGTGTGCCTCTCACTTGGGGGGGGGGGCTGGCAGCCCTTAGTCACTGAGTCCACAAGGCATAGTGCCTCTGTGGGGTCCCAGTCTGGCATCTGGGAGCCCAGAAGTTTTCTGGAGTGCTGCTGGTCCCTATTGCATGAGGAAAGCTTAGAAACCCTAGTTCTCTGGTCAACCAGGGAGTTAGCAGGACAAAGCCACTCTGAGCAAAGCAACTCAGGGAGCAAAGGGCAAGATGATCCTCCTGACAATGGTGCTGCTCACCGTCTGGGTGGGCTTTCCCACATTGAAGCCATCAGGACGGTTCTTCTAGTGAGGCTCTCTACTCACCCAGTTTGTGACAAGGTGACATTAAAACCAACCACGACTGTTCCCTCCCACAGCAGAGCCTACTGTCCCCCAACCTGTCCTGCAGCACCTGTCTCCAGAGCTGGTTTGAGGGTTGGTCTGCAAGGGCATCAGAGAGACATCCTTTGGTCACCTGGGTGCTAGAGGTACGGGGGACTTCCTGAGTACAGGGACAGGATGTTAGGCCTCTGGTGTGCACTGCCTAATTAATTCAAGGGAGGAGACCTTTGCTTTCAGCTTCCCAACACTGACTTAGCTGAACTCACTTGGCATACCCATGCAGGTGGCAGGTTTGGGTGCCTTGAAATTCCCTCTCATGCCACAACCCCGGGGTGGTGCTGGCTGGAGTACTCTCACCAGAGACCACTCACTCAAAGTGAATTTACACATCTCCCGGCAGAGCCATGAGCTCAGCCCTGCCATGTACCACACACTCATGCCAAGGTGTCAGCCTGGCACTGATCCTCAGCTCCGAACCTGGGCAGCCAAGGATGCTGTGACAGATGATCCCAAGTCTCCAGAAGGAACCCACCTTGGCTCTGCTGGCAGGTGAGTGGTTCTGCCTAAAGGAAAGCGATTCCATAGCAGGGAGAAGCCTGGGGATCCAAACCAGCCATCCCTGCCACACCTGCCCTTTGCAGGGATCTGGCTAGGAAGGCTCAAGTGATTGGAAAGGGTCATAGGAGGTAGGTTTTGCTCACCATCTCCTCAGTAGACCCCAGGCACATAGTGCCACTGGAATGTCTGTGCTGGAGTGGGGAGAGGCATTTGCATCCTCCAGGGGCTTCAAGGTGCCCCAGGTTCATCCTGTGAACTCCAGGCAAAAACCTGGGAGCCTCCATGCAGGTCTGTACCATGCTAGTCTGAGCACAGGGGCCTGGGCAGGACTCAGCCTGTGCCCAGACTGCAATGCCAAAGCCAACGGCCAGGTGGCACTATGTGGCCTCACCCTGGACATAGTCAGCTCCACCTGGACAGACAGGTAGTTTTGCCACACCAGCTCCAAGTATGGTGTCCCTTGGCTGCCACCAGACTAGAGCTGGTCTGAGCCCAACCCCATCTCTGCCTCTCAGACATGAAGCCATGTCTCCCCCTTGTCTATTTTTGAGGCCCAGACAATGACAGGCACAGAGGCAGAGCTTGTGGCTTCTGTGTACCCTCTGAGTGTCTCTTTGGCTCTGATCTGTGAGCATGTCCTCACTCCATCTTTAAAATGGAGGCGCATGTGACTTCTCATCCTTGTCTCCCAGGAAGATATTTTAAGACACTGTGAAGTCCAGTTGGGATACACCCCTCTCTAGGAACCCTCACGTTCTCTCTGGGCCTCTTAATATAAAGAGAGCTAGCTATTCCTGCATCAAGCCAGATATAATATGACCCCTTCCCCAAGGAGAGCTCTGCCCACTGGGCTTGACCCGGGAACCAGAGCAGTCAGGGGGACATCTTGGAAGTAACAGCCTTCAAGAGAGAGGCAAGGCTGTGGGGGACACAGCTCTTGTGAGAAGGTGAGGCCTAGCCAAAGACGCTTGGAAAACCAGGGTGGGGACCAGGAGTTTGTGGAAAAGGCCATGCATGACTGGTTTTCAAAATTGGTTAGAGTTTGCAACAGTGAGGAGGACGGTTTTGAGAAAGGACCAGACCAAGCTTGGGATGGAATGCTCTACAAGGTAGGTCAGCGAGACTGAAGAGCAAAGGTTGTAATGAAAGGCCCTTAAGCAGCCATTAGAGCTTGGGGGTGTCTCTCCACCACCCTGCCCGTCTGTAGAACAGGTGTGGTGACGGCAGTACTTCTCCGCTTAGCGGCAATGCTCTTTCTCGGCTGTGGACAAGATAAGGTAAGAGAAGAAAGCCATGCATGGCTTGTGTGGGAGGACACATGTCCCTCATCCTTGGCACCTGGTCCAGGGATCTGAGGCCATGCCAGATGGAGCTAGGATGGCCAATAAAGGAGCCACATTCAGGGAGCTGTGGGGACCCAGCTGTCACCTCCATCAGAACCTCTTGAGTCCCCAGCCCACACCCTTCCTGGACACTTTTTTTTTTTTCCTGCTCCTTGTGGGGGCACTGTGATAAGAGGGTAAATGAACAAAATGAGAAAAATGCTCCCAACAGATCCAGGCTCGGGATCAAGGTTCTCTACTCCTGCCCGGGGAGGAAGTGGGGTGTCCGAAGGTGGCCAGGGCACGAGTCTGGCTGGTGAGAATGGGATTTACCAAGGTCATTCTAGGCTTGGGTGCTACAGATTTCTCCTCTTTTTGCAGCAAAAAGAAGTTACCCACAAACTGGGTGTGATGTCCACACCTTTGACCCCAGCACTTGGGAGGCAGAGGTAGGCGGATCTCTGTGCACTCAAGGCCAGCCAGGGCTACATAGCGAAACCCTATCTAAAGTCACAAGCCACTAATGTGGAAAGCCAGTTGTGGCTTGTAACTGTAAATTTGTGGTAGGGCCCTGGCCTAGCACACATGAGGGAGGCTCTTGAAGCCAGAGGCTGGCACACATGGAGACTCTATAGTTCTTCTCTGTCCCCCAGGAGCAGGGGAGCTGGTGTCCCTCAGAGTAATGTAGGTGAGAGGAAAAGTGAGCCTGGACACACCAGGTTCCCCTCTCCCACCCCAGGGGCACCTCAGAAACTGAAGGCATCCTGGCTGTGGGTATATGTTTTATTAAGATAATTCACCAATTTTTTTAAGATTGTTCAACCAGAAGGCACCTCTGATAAGCTATAGATAGATAGGAATCTATCAGTCATTTGGTTTCTATTTGCCCCACTAAAGGTGTCCCTTCCCTCCCCTGGTCCACCATGGGGGCAGCAGGTAGGTTTCCAGCTACTAGACACAAAACCAAAAGGACATCTCTACCTCTAAGTAGACTTGTGGATGAGTCATTTTAGCCTGGGCACCATGGAACACTGCCATGTTTTGGCAAGAGCCAAAACAATGGTTCTCCTTCACAACACCATAGATGGAAGGGTGAACCTAGGTGCTCATAAACTGCAGTGTCTGTGGGCTCCATCCTGGGTGAGAACAGGAGGCCAAGGGAAGCTGCCACAGTTTGTCTAGAGTCAGCCATGGGCAGGTGTTGGCCATGTCCCATCAATGCCTCTGAAGCCTCCCTGGGCACCTGCCATAAAAGTGTCTTGTGGGGACACTTGGGACTGCCTGGAGGGCTGGGCCCTACACAGCAGAGGATGTGTTCTGGGCAGCCTGAGGCCACAGACTTTGCTAGCTCAGCCCTCCCAACCTGGTGTTCTCAGGCTGGGATGAGCACTTTTGAATGCCTGATTTGGAAGCGGCCCTCTGCAAATGAGGTTGGGAGCCAGGCTATGCTTGGCCCTGCTCTTGAAGCCATACAGCCTGGTACCTATAAAAAGTAGTGAAAGATGCATTTCTCAAATCTTCCAGGCTGGAGCTCAGGCACAGCCAGCCCAGCCTGTGGTGGAAACAGGCTTCCAGAAGCAGCCTCAGGCTCATTTGTTCAGGCCACAGGGCTCTGTGTCTCCTGGTGCCCAGGTCCCTGGCTGAGCCTCTTTCTGGGACCTCTCCCAGACTTGACTCCTCCTCTGCCACCAAGCCTGTGCTCCTCAGACTACATCAGGGCTGTGGGAACCAAACACGGGGTCTCCACACCGTTGCAGCTGCAGGCTGGAGGAGAACCAATGGCGTGGCTGGCCAAGGCTGCATTGCAGAGTGGTGCGGAAGGAGTTGCGGGCCAGCTTGGGGAAGATGATTGCGGTGCTCCCGAACCTCAGGGCACGTGGGCGAGGCTCCAGGGTCAGCTGGCTGCGGTAGCTGCGCCACGTACAGTTGGGTGCCGCCACTATGGTCTCACTGTAGGCTGTGACTGTGGGCACTGGAGCATAGAAGATCTTGTCTCGGAAGTACCTCTCTGAGGTGTAGGTGACCTCGGAGTTGCAGCTGGGGAGGACAGTTAAGTAACAAAGGGGGTGAGTTGCCTACTACCCTCAGTGGCTAGCCTTACACAGAACTCTGTCTTGACCGAAGAGTCAAAGTCCCAGCTGGGAGACTAAAGAGTGACAAGCAGCATGGACTACTGGATCCTAAATTGGGAGGGGGGTGACAAAAAAGGACACAATTGGGATGATGGATGCTGTTTAGGTGGTGGCTTTGTAGCACTGGACTGTCACCAGGGAGGAATATCTGTTGTTAGAGTATTCAGAGGCAGGGGCTAACTGGCAAAGGTCTCATGGGAGAACAGAGCAAGTACCTCCTATAGTCTCCCAACTTTGCCACATAAGAATGCCTATGAAAGTTGCCACAGCCCCTCCTGGTAGGTGACTCCCCCATTCAGAGGGACCAGTCAGTGACCTCAATGCCTCTTCCAGAGTTTCTGGTTTTGACACCAAAAAGCAGGGAGGAGGGTGTTCGCCAGAGAGTAAGAGTTGCTGAGCCCAAAGCTTGCTACTGTGTCCCTACAGCCAAGTAGGGCCCTGCCCATGACCAGGCAGACCCTGTCCCTCACAGATAGGACCCCTTCACACAGCTCGGCAGGATCCTCAGGGAAGTCCCACCCACCTTATTCTTTGTCTACTCACCGGATTTCGTGTGCAGGTTCTGGGTCCACCTTGATGCTCTCCCCAAAGAACACAGGCAGCAGACGGGGCCTCATCTCCAGGGCTGGGGGACTTTGGAAGAGGGAAGTGGCCTATGTGAAGAAATGGGAGGGGGCTCACAATTTGTACACTACCCCCAGTACTGACAACAGGGAAGTCAGATGACAGACATGCCCATATACCTGTGTGCATGACACCATGAGGGTGGGGCATGACTGTCTCACACACCAGCACCCAGGTAGGATAGTTCCTGGGTCAGGAAGCACCTGGCTCCCAGGGAACCCCAGGCAGCCTCAGGATTGAGTGACATCGGCACTGATCCCTGTCATAAAGCTCCCTGGTTAGGTGTTTATGGAAATAATACCAGAGAGGCTGTTTGCAGTTCCATGTTCCCCCAGGGTGCACAAGTTTGCTGAGTAGCTGCCATGCCCTGGGCACAGCACGAGGCTGTTCAGTTCAGAAAGGCAGATGTGTACTATTGGGTACAGAGCATTGCAGACCCTAATATACACCGAGTAAGCCTGCTACCACTGGACCATATTCCCAGCCCAATAGACCTGAATGAAAAAACAGTTCATGGGCTGGGGCGCTAGCTCAGGCGTTAGAGAGTGCTTACCTAGCATGCATGAGGACTTGTGTTCCATCTCTAGAACCGCATAAATGGATGCTTGCCTATAACCCCAGCCTTCAGAAGGCCGACCTTGGGTGCACAATTGGAGGCCACCCTGGGCTACAAGAGAGCCTAGAGACAGATGGCAAAAGAGGGAACCCAACACTGCTACCTGGGCTTTGGCTGACCTGCCGCAGCCCATTTCAGCCAGGTGACCCCCAGGACTCTGCCCAATTCAAATGGAGGAAGGCAGAGTGGTACAGTTCTCCAAAGGGCCCCACTAGAAGAAACAGTTTGGCTGCCCACAGGGAGTGTCCACTGGGGGCAGGGCAGCTAGGCATGTCATACCCAAGGATTCTACCAAGGATTCCAGGGCTAGACACCAAGAGAAGGGGGTGGCAGCCACTAGCCACCCCCCAGGAGAATATTTTTGCAGTCAAAACCCTGGCTAAGAGAATATCTCACTTTAAAGCCTGTGGACCCAGCTGACCTGCAGAACCCTCAGGAAAAGCCCAAATGTGTTGGGTGGAAGACAATGCTGCTCCCAGAAGATAGGATATAGCCCTGGGGTAACTGTGGGGGTGGGGCTCTAGCATCCTTGGGGCATGCAGGGTGAGCACAGAGCCCCAGGGTCTACATACACTATAATCTTCACAGTGTCTGCCTTACTGGGTGGCCCTCCTGAAGCACACAAAATCCCAAGAAGGTGACCAGCCATCAGAGTCCCTGTTCTTCAAAAGAGAGTCTCCAAGGCGTTGTAGGATTGCTCAGTAGTTAAGACACTGCTTTTGGAGAGGGACCAGATTCAGTTCCCAGCATCCTCATGGTGGCTTAACAAACACCTAACTCAAGTTCCAGGGAACCAGTTTCCCATTCTGGTGTCTGGGCACCCGACATGTACATGGCACACATGAACTTGAGGCAAATGCTGATCTCCAGCTTCAGTGTGCATCGATGACCTGGATTGTACCAATTGCATATGGAATACACACTAGGGCTGAAGGATGACCAGTTCCTTGGGGTTTCAGTGTCCCCTTGCAGCTCTGGGACACTGGGATAGAGGGGAAGAAAAGGCTGAGGGCACACACTGCCTTCTACTGACTACAATAACCCCCACCAGCTGGCCCTGACTCCCAGCCTTACCCTTTCCTGAGTTCTGAGAGCCATGGGCAGGCCAGGACAGCTGGCTAACTACTGGTCACCTGGGCAGACAGGGACAGGGTAGGTACCAGGACTAAAGTTCTGAGAATAATGGGTCACTGACTGCCCTGCCCAGCCATGGTAAACATTGCTGGCTGGAGGTGTGGTGACATGGTACTTGGTGATAATGTACTGTGGCAGAGAGCACGGTACAATACAGAGACAGCCCCACCTGACGGTGGTCAGGCCCATATGAACAAGACATTGGGTACGGCCATGGGGCCAGAATAGTACCATAGCCCATGGAAATCACTAGACCAATAAGGGAGGGGAATGGCCCCACTGGCTGCTGCTGGAGGAAGCAAACAGCCAGAACCTCCATGAGTGTGCCTCCTCCCCCCCCCCATGGAGACTTTGCAAGGGGTCAGTGGATTTCCACAAGATACCCTCGGCAGCTTCTGGTTTGCTTTGAATGAAGTCTCACTCTGTGGACCAGGCCTGGAGCTTCTAACAATCCTCCTGTCTCACCCTCTCAAGCTCTAATAGTCATTAGCTGCGTGTCAAATATGTTTGTGACCAGAAGCTCCTGTGCTTGGGTTGACTCTGACCTTGGCCCAGGAGGAAATGGAGCAAAGAGAGTGCCTAGCAGCCCAAGTCCCTGGCCTCCCTGCAGGAGGCTATTAATGGGGGTGGGGGTGTGGACTCAATCACTCTCTCCAGGATGCCACACTAGGCAGCTATGTAAGATCAATGCCAATGCCACCTGCTCAGGAGAAGTCCAAGAGACCCTCAAGGGCCTAATATAAGCTGCAGCGCAGCCTGATGATATACAACTAACAGCCGCAAGAGCAGTGCAATTAGGAGAGGGCCCCACTGCAAGCCGGAAAAACTGGTGATGCTGACTGTCCCCACACAGATAGTTGAGTCCCAAACCCCCTGTCAGTGGGACCTCCAACTGACATGGGGGTCTCTAGAGGTGTGAGGTTGCCCTAACTGGATGACTGGTGTGCTTAGAAATGAAGACACAAGAACAGTCAGATGAAGATGGATGCAGATACTGTACTGCATCTCAAGCTAGGGTTCCCACCAAAAGCCACACCTTGCTACAAGAAGCCACAGATTGTCACTGGACAGATGTGGGTTGTCTGTATATATGTTTCTCTTATTCGTTAGTGAATAAAACACTGTTTGGCCAATGAGGCAGGGTGATAGGCGATACTAGGAGACAAGGAAAATTCTGGGAGGTAGGCAAAGAGTGAACCACCAAAGGAGTTAGAGGTCCAGACCCTTCTCCGGTAAGAAGACCACATGAAATACTTAGATTAATAGAAATGGGTTAATAATTAAGACAGACCTAGCCAATAAGAAACCCTAGTCCCGACCTACAGTTTCATAATTAATATAGCGTCTGTGTGTTTATCTGGGGCGAAACAGCTGTGGGAAACTCTGTAACATTGGACCAATGGATTACTACTGGAAGTCATGAATGGACTTTACCAGTCATAAAGAAAGCCCAACTTGGGCTGGAGATGGCTCAGTAGTTAAGAGCCACTGCCTGCTCTTCCAAAGGTCCTGAGTTCAATTCCCAGCAACCACATGGTGGCTCACAACCATCTAATGAGATCTGGTGCCCTCCTCTGGCCTGCAGGCAGAACACTGTACACATAATAAGTAAATAAATCTTTTAAAAAGGCCTTGATTCCCGTAGTGTAGTGTGGCCTCCGTAGTCTAAACTACCTGTTTGTGGTACATTAGTTGTAGCCATCATAACCAGTCCCATGTGTGGTGCTTTCCCCAGAAAATGGCTGATTGTGGGTTCCCTAGACACCTGTCAGGGTGTGGCCTGTATGCTCGTCACACCAAGGGTGTGGCTCTTCACAGCAGGTGCCCCAACCTTGGGGGCTGGGCTGTGGAGACGGGAAGGCAGTCCCCTGGAAGTGAAGCCGACTAGGCTGGAAGGAAGCCGGCAGATCTCCCTGCCTCCCCCACTTCCTCTGCAGGCTTCACCCACCCTGCGCGCTCCTGCCCTTCTACAAGACACCTCACCTAGGCCATGGGTCTGTTGAGCCCAGTCCTCTTTGCCTGCCAATTTATTGTGCATTCTATCCACTTGTTAACTTGTCCATCCACCTATCTACTTTCTCATTTTTCCTTCAGTCTGTCCATCTGTCCATTGTCCTTCCATCCTTCCTGACTCCAGGCACCAGCCACCTCATCTCTCATACAAGCCTTCATAGAAATGAAAATGCAGAGGCCCCAAAGTAGTGGCATCTATATCAAGCCCTTCCCACTCTCCTTGGACCAGAGCCCAGCTATGCACCCACCTGGGAGGAGGAAGCCAGCTCCTTTGGATGGTCCAGAGTGACATCAGAAGCACACTCCACCCTGCAATACTGACTCTTATGAATCAACCAGGAGAAACCAGGGAGTTGGAGTCTCCACAGCAGTGGCTCCCCACTCCACTTCTTGTCACCTGTCATTCAACACCCAGAGAGTCCCCCAGGTCAGATCCCAAAAGCCATCTGCAGCCCCCCCCCCCCCGCCCCAGGGGCAATAAACCTGGGTGGGGTGCAGGCAGCAGTTGCCCAAACTGCTTGTAAGTGCTGGGAGCCTTCCTCAGCCAGCAGGACATGGCTCCCCGCCATACCTATCCCACACACAACAGCTGTGATGGAATTGGGGGGGGGGCACCTGATGTGTATCACCTGGTGTAGAAGTCCAGCTTGGAACCCAGAGTGGCAGACAGAGCTAGGGTCAGTCTGTTTTCATCTAGCCCTGCCTGGATGGCTGACCATTCTTGGGGTAAAGGTAGCAGCCAAATGGTCCCTGCTCCAGCCAATGCATCTTGCTCTCCTGGGGCCACATGGGAAGGCAGCACACAACCCCCAAACACACACAAAAGGTCACTTTGTACTCTTCATATGCACTTTTCAATTACATCCCTGATTGGGGTTTCTAATCTGGGGATCCTGGGAGCTCATGGTACTGTTTTTTATAAAATAAAAGACACAAGCCTATTTAAAAAACAAAAAAACAAAGCATTAGCTTCCAGCCTCCTGACCTAGACCCTCCTCTTGTTCTCTGGTCTCTGCCACAGGACACTGGCACATGCCACCCTCTCAGACTGAGACACATTTCAGCCCTGTACAATAGTAATCCACTCCCTGGTTTGCTCTGGTTTTCTGAGGCCTGCCCTTCTGTCGTCGTCACTCCCCTACATGGCTGCCCATCGCTCCTGGCACTGTCACACATCAAAGGAAGTGAATGTAGCTCCCCACTAGAATGACAGTTCTGCACAATGACACTGATGCTGGAAGGAGCCAAGGGACATGTGACCACCTTCACATAGCTTCTTCCTTGCACAGGACCCCAAGATGTGAGATAGCCTTCTTCTATCCCACGCAATAGATCAATCAATTGGCAATTGTCAGCCTGCCAACACCTGGGCCTAGGAGTTACCCAAGCAGGGGGACAGGGTGGCCATTAAACCACAGAGCACAGAAGGAATGGAATTTCAAGGAGGCGAGTAACCTGGTGGGTAGTAACTGGTAGATGGGTGGGGCCCCAGCTGGAGCCCCAAACCTGAGGCAAGGTTGCCATGGCTACTACTTCCTCTCTTTATTAAAAGCAGCACCTTGACCCCATAGCTATTCGACTTGTTTTTCAGTTTAAAAATTTTAAAGGTCGTTAATTTGCTACACTGTGAAAACCAGGGCAGGTTTAAAGGCACACTGGAACCAGGTTCCCAGGTTCTATTCTGGGCAGCTTTGGGCAACTCCCTAACCATTTCTGTGCCTCGACTTCCTCCAGGAAATGGAGGTCAGGGGCAAACAAGTACTCACTGGCAGAGAGAGAGCCATCCCTGGCATGAGGGAAATATCAGGTGTTCTTCATTACCTGGGCCCCAATGGCCCCAGGCTTCCCTGCCTATACAAAGTCACAGAACTGGGGAAGTATAGCTCTGTAGCTGGCACCTACTTAGCCAGGAATGGAAACAATAACCGCAGCATCAACCAGCCGGACATGCTGTTCTCATGGCACCTATGGCTGGCACAGTATGCATCCAGAACTCCCTGCAGACGCGGTCTCTAGGTCACAGAGAGTTGGAGCAAATCTTCCTGGTCCCTTCTTTCTGACCTCTCTCGGAATACACCCTGAGATTTCTTCCGGACCATGCAGCCCACACCAGGTGATCCACAGCTGCAGGAGTGCTGGCCTGTCTGTCCCCAAGTTTCCCTGAGAACAGCATTGCTCATTTGTCTTTACTCCTAAAGTCCTCGACCAGCCCCCCACCCTCCCCAAAGAGAGGTGCAAGTTCAATTCAAGACAGGCTTCCAACTTCCCTGAGTGCTCGAGTCTCTTGGGGAGATTTAAATAAAAGTTGAGATCCCTGAACTGTGTGTGCCCTGGACTATGTCAATGCCTGGAGGGGAAGCAGGCTGGACCTTGCTTAAAGAAGTTCAAATGCCTACTGCACTCTGCACACCTTGGCGGGAAAGGCCTTAACACATCCATGTGGAAGATATCAAGCCACAGACAGGGTCTGCCACAAGGTTCAAGTGTAACCTCTGCTGTGTTCAGCCGCCCTTTCTTCAAGTTTCTCCCTCTACCCCATCTCCAGAGCAATCCATGCAAAGCCGGTCCAGCAGCCCCTAGGTCCAGCTCCGCTCTGAGGGCAGTTCCGCTTCTACACCCACAAGACAAAGCCCGTGGAGGCTTTCAGGCCGAGCTGCGTTTTCAAAACTGTCTCCATTTAGCAGCCCCGGGATGGGTCCAGCCCCAGGATGGATCAACAGGACAGGAGACAGCAGCAGGGACGGAACCCACAGACAGATGGCCACAACAGGCCCCTTTGCAGATGGTGGACTTTGGGAACACCAGGACATTACGCTGTACTCTAGCCCACCAGCAACCCACCCTGAAACTCCCAGCCTACAGGTCCTGGTGAGTCTGGTGCAACTCCCTGTCTGCCTCAGGAGGGAGGAGACCATGCTGGCTTTTGCATGGGCCTCCCACTGCCGGGTCCCCGCGTCTTACCGCTGGTGCCTCATTGGGTCCTGGGGGCTCGGTGGTGGCTCGGGCATCTAGGGTGCCTGGCGACAGGGCGTAGAAGGGAGGGCTAGGACTGGGACTCGGGGGCAGTCCCGAGTCGGGACTGTCCAGCAAGCCGTCGCGGCTCTGCTCACGCGTGTCCCCCATGGCCTGCAGATGCAGGTGACCCACCATGACTGGCGGGCACGGGGCGCGGGCCCCAGCAGCTCGGGTCCCCGCCACCACTGGGCCGGAGGGGAGACGAGAAAGCTCTGGCCTGCGGCTCCAGCTGAGACCCACTCCCGATGCAAACGCCTCCAGCCGCCAGCTGAGCCGCCTTTCCCAGGCGCCGCCCCCTCCCCGCCCTCCTCCTCCTGCGCCTCTCGCTCCCGCCCTGACCACCCACCCGGCCAGGGCAGGGTGAGGACTGCAAGGTCTCCAGCCTGCAAAAGTCACCTCCACCCCACCCCGGAGGTGTTGAATGCTGACTTGAGTCCAGAGTCACCTCAAAAAGAACGCTGAGCCACCAGTGGTGCCATTGCTGGAGTCCCTCACCTGGACTGAATCTCCAAGAAAAGCACCTTCAGCAACCTGCGGGGAGTTGGGAGGGGGTACTTACAGTGGGGAACCGAATGATCAAAGGACCCAGGGTCAATATCTGCCCCTGGGACCACCAGAGTGCTCACCTCCTTTAGCTTCTGTAAATTTGTCTGGGCAGCAATGCCCGCCTGCCCGGGGCCACCTGGCCCAGGTAACAAGGACACCTGGTGTGTAGATAGCACTCCCTTCATTCCAGTCGTTTCTCCCCACCAGTATGTTTAATTCTCCAACTCTGCCTGTGAATGCTTGCTTGCCTTTGATCTTCATTTTCTGGAAGAAAATGGAGACACAAAGATGGTTAGGAAGTTACCCAAGGGGTGGGGATGGGGGGAGCAGACTTCCAGAAGTCCCTAACACCTGCTGTTGTTGGGTTTCTCTAAAACCTGGTTCTCAGCCGTCCTAATGCTTCGACCCTTCATTACAGTTCCTTGTGTTGTGGTGACCTCCAACCATAAAATTACTTTCATTGCTACTCCATAACTGTAATTTTGTTACTGTTATAAATTGTAATATAAATATCTGTGTTTTCTGATGGTCTTAGGTGACCCCTGTGAAAGGGTCCTTTGATCCCCCCAGAGGGTGGTGACCCCAAGGTTGAGGACCACTGCTCTAAAAGGTCTCATTCAGGGACAGGGCTCTGCCTACCTTGTCCCACTTTATCTCCCATGGGAGCTGAACACACAGTTCCCATTCTGCCTGCTTTTCTGACAGGGACCAGAGGGCATCCCACCACTGCCTGCCTCCAGCCTTACATCTGGACACAGGATCCCAGATACCTACAGATTACTTGGCAGGATGGCATACAGCGTAGGGGACAAGTGACCTCTGCTAATCCATCTACCCCACATCTGCTGGACAGAGGGAGAGACCCCAGCTTCATAGTGGCCCCTGGAGGTTCGTCCTCCTTGTAGGTGGGCCAAGTTCTCTGGCTGGCAGGTGTGCCTAGACCTGGACTCAGGTGCAGCTGGCTGGCCTGTCCTTAGAACTACTCAGTAGGTGGGGGAGAGATAATACACCAGGTGATACAGGCTGGGGCTGAACAAAGGTACCACCAGGCAGTTGTGCCAGTCAATCAGGGAGGGCTTCCCAGAGGAGGTAACACTTGACCAGACATCCAGATAGAGGGAATAGCAGGATGTACAGGGAACAGCAGGACGCAAAGGCCCTATGGCAGAGAGAGCAAGGTGCCACCAGGGGCTATCACAGTGGAGTGGCAGGCTGAACCCTGTTATTAGAAAAGCATACAGCCTGTACATATGTCATCTAGGAATGAACTTGGGGCTTTGGCTGCCTGAATGAAACCCACAAGAAATTTCACCCAGGGGTCCCTTGACCAGAAATGGGTCTGTGTCACGGAGTTTCACAGGATGTAGGTGGGAGGCCTCTCAGGAATGTGAAATACAATATGTCCTTCCCCAGCGCTGGGTGCTGGTGCCCACTGGATATCACTGACACTCTAGAAAATGTTCTACCCTCTTAAACTTTCAATAGCCCCCAAAGAACCTTCAGGAAGCCACTGAAGGTAAGCTGAGGACAAGTTAAGGACCAGTGTATCAGGCTGTCTTTTGGGCCACCAGCCAGCTCCCAAATCATGACATGGAGACTTATTAGTTACAAATGCTCAGCCTAGCTCTTATAATGTAACCTGTTTCTCTTCATCTATGTTTTGCCCCAAGGTTTGTTTTTTGTTTAGGTTTTTTGTTTGTTTGTATGTTTGTTTTACTTTTCTTTCATTCTGTATGTCCTTTCACTGCTTCCTCCGTGTCTGGCTGGCTGGTGGCTGAACAGCCCCAGGAGTCTCTCTTCCTTCTCCCTCATTCTTTCCTCCTATTTATTCTCTCTTCCTGCCAGACCCACCTATCCTTCTACTGCCTAACTATTGGATGTTCAGCTTTTTATTAGACCAATCAGGTACCTTAGGCAGGCAAGGTGAAACAGCAACACATCTTTACATCATTAAACAAAGGTAACACAGCTTTGTCTAGTCAAAGTAATATTCCACAATAGACCAGGGCTTTAAAAGTGTAGGTGCCCTGGCTTTGCTTAAAATTTGATATCGGGCTAGAGAAGTGGATGAGCACATAACACTTTTGCAAGAGGACCAGAGTTTAAATCCCACCACCCACCTGGGACTGTTCGAAACAGCTGTAACTTCATTCCAGATTAACTCCCTCTTCTGGCCTCCGTGGGTTCCTACACTCAATGTGCATAAGCCTACAGACAGACACACACAGACACAGACACAGACACACACACAATGAAAAAGAAAACCTTTTAATCTAAATTTTTTTTTGATGGCCTGTGCCCTTTTTTAATTGTTCACATTTGTTTTGACAATAAGATTTGTTGTGATGTCTCTGATGCAGGCCTGGGCCCTTGCCTCTTGCAGTCCTGACCTTTGCCCCATTTACACTAAACAGAGACTCCTTCATAGTGGCTCTTTCAGGACAATGCTGGCCAACTTCTGGAAATTTCCCTACTCCAGCATATGGCTTCCTCTGGAAGGAACCAAACTGTTCCTGGTAACAGTGAAGACACATGGACACCAACTGGCAGGAAAACCCAGTCTCACTGCAAATGTCAAATGCCAAGCAAACGCCCACACAGGTGACTGTGGCCATGACTTCTGACCTATGGTGATCCACAGCCACAGGCCTGGGACTGCTGTCCACTGAAAGCCAGTACTGTCAGCGCTTGGCTCCTCCCGAGGTCACACAGCCTGGAGATGTCAGAGGCAAGAAAAGGGCAATGACTTCCATAGACTCTGTGAGTCTGGCTGGCTCAGCAGCAGCTGCCGAGGGACCTTAGGTAGGGGGCCTGGAAATGAAGTTTGTCACTATCTGAGCACTGCATCTCTCCAGTGCTACAGCAAGGGTTGAAGCAGGCCAGCACTGGTCCAGCATGGCACACTCAGCTCCAGACCTTAAGGTTCTGAAGCAGGAGCTGTGAGTAGTTCCAACATGGCCAATATTGAAGAGAGGAGTTTGGAGGCAAGAAAGTGACAGGGGACACAAATACATCATAGGAAGGGTAAGTGGGGTGCTCCTGACATGCACATGCCTCAGGCTGGGGGTAGGAGAGCCACCTAAGCCACACACACACCTCTAGGAGAGTGAAAGTATCCAGAGTTCTTCCTGGGTACTTTTCAGGGAGAACTCACCACTGCCAGCGGGAAAGGCCATTGGGTAGGGAATGAACACAAATGGCTTTTTCCTGGGGTACCACCAGCCACTTAGTCCAAGCCCTAATGAACTAACCTTTCCTAGAGCAGGGCTGGGCCCTCAAGGACTGCTCACAGGAACACGAACATCGACTGTACTGGAGGCTGGAACACTAGCCTGACACTCAAGATGGACATGTGTTTTCCCGTCATTAAAGTAGATGGAGTCACAGAGGCCCAGAGAGGTCACAGAGCTAAGAAGCCAGGTTGAAGGCTGTTCTGATGGATGTGGGGTGAGACTGTCACTGGGTCCCAGAGGGTTCATGAAACGCATAAGGCAGAAAGATGGCATCCTGTGGCCTTCAGCGAAAGCCCCAGACCTAACAGGCTTGAGGAGAGGGCCGCAGCAAGGATGCTAAGCTGCAGGGAGAACTAAGAGCAGTGACATACGAAAGTGTACAGGTCACCCTGTCCTAATGTGTGTCTCCAGAGAATAGGACTGGGCACCTCGCTCCCAGAGAGCATCCACACATCTCTGTCCTGTTTTGACTCCACATACAGGGAGAGTACACAAACACACACACACACACACACACACACACACACACACACACTCATGTACACACCTCCCATGCACAGTCTCTGGGTGCTCTTTCACCCCTCCTCCTGCTTAACCTTTCCCAGTGACACCACATGGAGGAGGCCATGGAGGAACCTACTCACTGGCTGGGTTTCCTGGGCTTGCTTAGCCTGCTTTCTGATAGTACCCAGGACTACCTGCCTAGGGATGACACTGCCCACAATGGGTTGGGCCCTCCTATATCAATCACTAATCAAGAAAATGCCTCACAGTCTTGCCCATAGGCCAATCTGATGGCGACAATTCCTCACTAAGGTTCCCTCTTCCCAGGTGACTTTAGTTTGTCAAGCTAACAAAAACTAACTTACACACACACACACACACACACACACACACACATATACTGCATGCACCTATACACATGCACACCTGTACACACACAGTCCTCTGCACACACATGTGCACGGGCACACATGTTCACATACACATATGCCTACTCTTCAGCAGATACAAGGAGAAGGGGACAGTGTGGCACATGCCTCTGGCCTCCCCTGAACACTCTCTGCATCTTTGATCAACTAGTTTGAAGTGGCTGCCAGGAAGGCATGGATGGAAAGAAGAGAAGACAGAGGAGGGACAAACAGTGACCTTTTTTCTGAGTAGCAGAGGCTACCTTGTCTGCTTGGGGACACTGATCAGGAAATGATACTGAAGCCCAGCACCCCGAAACCATGGCATTCCTGACTAGATGTCTCAGCAGGCCCTCGACCTGGGCCAGAGGCCGTCCCTCCTGGCTCAGGGATTAGGGTCATTTCTGGTATCTGGCTTTGCCTGGGAGACTCTCCCACAGTGCCTGGCTTGGGGTCCAGCTTGAGCCACCAATAT